CTGTCCCGTAAAAAATAAAATATGTTACAGAAGCAGCACCTGAGAAGTCGACCTTCACTGCAGCGGTTCTCAAACTGTGGGGCGGGACCCCAAAGTAGGTTGCGACCCGGTTTTAATGGGGTCGCCAGGGCTGGTATTTAGACTTGCTGGGGTCCAGGGCTGAAGCCTGAGCCTGCCACCTGGGGCCGAAGCCCGCGCCACACACCCCGGGGCTAAAGCCCAAAGACTTCAGCCCTGGGGAATGGGGCTTGGGCTTTGGCTTCAGCCCTGGCGGCAGGGCTCAGATTACAGGCCCCCACACAGGGCTGAAGCCCTTGGGCTTGGGTTTTGTCCCATCCACCCACCCAGGACAGTGGGACTTGGACTTTGCTCCCTCCCTCCCCCTGCCCAGGGCGGTGGGCACCGGTGGGCTCAGGCTTCAGTCCCTCTTCCTGGGGCCATGTAGTAATTTTTATTGTCAGAAGGGGATCGTGTTGCAATGAAGTTTGAGAATTCCTGCTTTACTGTGTGCGATGTCCTTCAGGAGTCAAACACCCGTATGACTTCCAGTGGTGAAAGCCGAAAGGAAGCCACTGGCATGAAGACTGAAGTGTTCAACTCCAAGACAAAAACCAAACTTGTTTTTTGGAATGTACGGACAATGTATGAAATACAGAAGCTAGCTCAGGTCCCAGCAGAGATGAGACGCTACAGCTTACATATCCTGGGTGTCAGCGAGAGCAGATGGATGGGATCAGGAAGATTAACAACAGCCTCAGTAGAAACTTTGCTGTATTCTGGACAGGATGATGGACAACACCATGACAGTATTGCCATCCTTTTGAAGAAGGGAGTGAAGCAGTCCCTGCTTGAGTGGAAGTCCATCAGCAGCAGAATTATGAGCCAGACTGAAAGGGAAACACAATAACATCCCCCTGATTCAGTGCTACGCACCGACAAATGACTGTGAGGAAGAAGCAAAGGATCTACCTTATACTACAGGTGGAGTTAGAGAGAGTACCATGCCACGACCTAACTATCCTCATGGGAGACCTGAATGCCAAGGTCAGTAAGGACAACACAAACAGTGCCAGAGCAATGGGAAGACATGGGTGTGGCATGATGAATGAAAACGGAGAGAGGCTTGTTGATTTCTGCAATATGAATGATCTAGTCATCGGCGGAACCCTATTTCAACATTGTGAAATTCACAGGCTGACATGGTGTTTTCCAAATGGCAAAGATAAGAACTAGATTGACCATATGATGATCAATGTCAAATGGCGACGCTCAGTGACAGATGTGAAAGTGAGAAGAGGAGCAGATGTTGGCAGTGACCACCACCTTGTGACAGCCTCCATCATGCTAAAACTGAGAAGTACGTGGCCACCAAGCAAGGGACATAGACATTATGATGTTGACAAGCTAAAGTCCCGTGAATTATAGAAAGCCTTCGTTCTGCAGTGAAAGAACAGGTTTCAGGCACTTGCAGACATTGATGAAGAGGAGGAGATCAACAAGAAGTGGGACAAAGTAACAACAATCTATGAACAGCACAGCGAAGCCTGTCTAAGCCAGAGGCAGAAGAGAAGAAAGGAGTGGATTACACCCAGCACATGGAACACCATAGAAACCAGACGAGCCCCGAAGAAAAAAGTTTTAGACATAAAATCCCAGAAGCTAAAGGACAAATACCACGAGCAGTATAGCAAGGAACACTGGGAGATCAAACGCCCTGTGAGAGCGGACAAACGACATTATATTGATAATCTAGCAACACAAGCAGGGGAGGCATCTGCTCATGGTGAACAAGGTTCCGTCTACAAAATCTTATCAGTGGTAAACGGCAGACACCAACAAACTCTCTCATCAGGGACACACAAGGCCACCTACTGACAACAGAAAAAGAACAAGAAATGCACTGGACAGAGCATTTCAAAGAATTACTGAACAGGTATCCACCTACAGAGGAAGCAAACATCCTAGAGGCAGAAGAAGATCTTAATATCAACACAGACACCCCAACAAAGCAAGAGCTCATTCAAGCCATCAAATCCTTAAAAAATGGGAAAGCTCCTGGCAGGGATAACTTGAATGCAGAATTGGTCAAGGTAAATCCTGAGTTAGCCGCATCTATCCTGGCCCCTCTATTCACATCAGTCTGGGAAAGGGAAAAAGTGCCAGAGGAGTGGACCAATGGGGTTATAGTGAAGATACCAAAGAAAGGAACTCTCAGTGATTGTAATAGCTGGCGTGGTATCACACTTTTAGCTGTGCCAAGCAAGGTATTGTGTAAGATCATAGTCCAGGATGTATCAGAGGCAGTTGATAGCATTCTCAGAAAAGAGCAAGACGGTTTTTGGAAAGGGCGTACATGCACAGATCAGATCTTCATTCTACGAAATGTAATAGAACAGTGCTTGGCAATGGCAACTCTACATAAACTTCTTAGACTTTGAGAAGGCTTTTGATAGCATTCACAGGACCGGCCTATGGCACATTTTGTATAGTCAACATTATCAAAATCATCTATTCCAACTTCACATGCAGTGTTGATCACAGTGAGCTCAGTTTTGAAGTCAGAACAGGAGTACGTCGGGGTGTGTCATGTCTGCAACCCTGTTCAGCATTGCCATCAGCGTACAACAGAAGACATGCCAAGAGGCACTAACTGGACACCCTTCCCATCCCTTGAAGACCTGGACTTTGCAGATTCTCTCACTCTCCTATCACATACCCAGCACCATATACAAGAAAAAACAACTCGACTCAACACAGTCAGCCAGCAAATTGGATTGAAAATCAACTGCAATAAGACAGATATTATGCCTTTAATATTGCCTCACCATCACCATTATGGATAGAGGATCATGGCCTCACCAATGTAGAAACATTCACATACTTGGGTAGCACCATCTGCCAGGATGGTGGAAACAGCCAGGACATCCGGAACAGAATCAGTAAAGCCAGGAACACCTTCAGGAGCTTAAATACAGTCTGGAAATTATCAAAATACAACACCAAAACCAAACTTAAGATTTATCAGAGCTGTGTACTTCCAACACTACTTTATAGTGCAGAATGGAGGGGAATGACAAAGTATGACATGTCCAAACTGTCTTCATTCCATACAACCTGCCTCAGAAAAATCCTCCATATCTTTTGTCCCACAACAATCTCAAACCAAGACCTATTCACACAGTACAGCCAAGAGGATATGAGCACCATCATTGCCAGGACATGTTGGAGATGGATTAGCCATGTGCTTCGGATGGAAACTGCTTCCATCACCAGAATAGCATTAAGATGGACACCTGAAAACAAGGCTGCCTGAAAACAACATGGCGAAGAGCTGTGGAAGCCGAGCTGAGAAACCTGGGGCACAGCTGGGGAACCATTGAAAGACTTGCCAGAAACAGACAGGAGTGGAGGAGCTTTGTCACTGCCTAAACGCCAGAGGCGTCATGGAAACATGATGTGATGATGAATTCAGGTTCAATGGCCACAGCACATCCCCTTGAGCCAACACTTTACTGTGACAGCAGATTGCGGGAAACTCTCTAGCAGTTAACAATGACTAAGACTTGCAGCACATGTGTATTTCCATGTCATCGACTCACCAGTTTGGCTTGTGCTGCTCTGAAATTCCAAATCCTACCGTTATTAACTTTTTCAATAATGGTTTCCCAAAGAGGCAGTGGGTGCTATGTACTAACTGCGATAAATGCCAAATGACTGAGATCGGTCGGGGGACAATGAGAACCATAGTTTCAGCCCCAGCTGTGTGCAAAAAAAGTTTCAAGAGCAAGATGATTTTGTAAAAAGCTGCATGGGGGGGTGGGGGTGAGGGTGAGGGCTATGTCTTAGGAACCTCTTTAACAAATCACCCCATGTTTGGACCACTAACCCTTTCCTGATTGCCCATGAAAAATTTGCCCAGCAAATTTCAAGACAATCCGAATAAACATGTAGCATTTAGGGTAGTTAGAGTAGTTGGTCTTTAAACAGAAAATAATGCTTCCGTCGAGCTAGCTACTGCCTCTCACGGCGGTAGATGACCTATGCTCATGGGTCATCTTTCCCATTTCTGTAGTGAGTGTCTACACTGACGCACTACAGCAGGACAGTCACAATGTCTCAAGTGTAGACAAGCCCTGAGATACGACATTCAGTGACACCTCCCCGTCCCTCCTTTTCCTTACTGCGCTGAATCCCACCAGCCCTTGCTCACCAGTCCCGGCTTTCCTACACCCCTCCTATTGTCTCTGGGTTTCTCTCTGTGATTAAGCAGCAGATCCAGGGTGACTTCCCCTCTGGCTGGAGTCTTTACTTCCTGGAACACGGAGTTACTGACTCTGTGTTTTAGGAGCCCCTTGTTGAGGAGTGTCTGGCTGTGTGTGTTCCCAGCAGAGATGGGGATAGTTAAATCCCTCATATGCAGAGTGCCCTGCACCTTGGAAGCTTCCCCAAGCGTTTTACTGCTTTACAATGGGCTGGGTTAAAACGGATAGACTCTTCTTTGTGAGAAATGTGCCATGAACTCCCCTGATCTCCCTTATTTTCTGTTCCCTCAGCAGGGTTTCCTGTTTCCAAACCTGATGTGATATCCCAACTGGAACAAGGGGAGGAGCCGTGGGTCCTGGATCTCCAGGGCTCTGAGGAAGGAGAGATCCTGAGAGCTGTCTACGCAGGTGAGGGATCATTAAACCAATTCAAAAACTCTCAGTGCCTGAAGGAAGGAGCTGGGACTCCCTAAAAAGGCCTTGGGAGCTCTCGGAGTTCAGGAGTATCCCCAGGAAGGTTTGTACCCTATGGGCAGCTATCCCTCCCGGCTTCCTACCCATCCTCACTGACACCTGGCAGCAGCTTCCTACCTGATGGGATGTGGAGGCAGAATTGTTCCCCTCCTCTGTCCCCTAAGGAGAGGAGTTTTTTCTGTCTCTCCAGCTATAATTTTGGTTTGATTTCCCCTTTTCTATCCCTGTTTATGACGTTTCTCTCTCTGTCCTAGGAGGTGCTGGGATGGTGAGTGAGAACAAGGAGCTGAATCCTCAGCAGGAAGATGCTGAGCAAGTGGAAGCACACGGGGGATTATTGCAAGGATCCCAAGGGAATGTGTCCAGGCGTCATGTGAAGGGGAAAGCCTGTGAGAGCCAGCACAGGCCAGAGAGGCAGCAGGGAATCCAGCCCAGGGAGAAAGTGGGCAAATCCATTAATTGTCAGGGGACTCACCAGAACTCCAAGAAAATCACAGCCCAGCAGAGAATACCTATAGGAGAGAGAAAAAACACATGCACTGAGTGTGGGAAACACTTCACTCTGATCTCCACCCTCATTAGACATCAGCGGATCCACACGGGAGAGCAGCCCTACAAATGCTGTGAGTGCGGGAAACAGTTCAGTGAGAAATCAAACCTTATTACACATCAGACAAGCCACACAAGAGAGAGACCCTATGAGTGCTGTGAGTGCGGGAAAAGCTTCACTCGGAGCTCTACCCTTACTAGACATCAGAGGATCCACACAGGAGAGAGACGGTATGAATGCTGTGAGTGCGGGAAAAAGTTCACTCTGAGCTCATTCCTTATTAATCATCAGAGAATGCACACAGGAGAGCGACCCTATATATGTGGTGAGTGCGGGCAAACGTTCGCTCAGAGCTCAGCCCTATTTAAACATGAGAAGATCCACACAGGAGAGCGCCCCTACAAATGCTCTGAATGCGGGAAACAATTCATTGAGAAATCAACATTTATTAAACATCAGAATAGCCACATGGGGGAGAGACCCTATGAATGTTGTGAGTGCGGGAAACAGTTCAGTGAGAAATCAAGCCTTACTAAACATCAGACAAGCCACACAGACGAGAGACCCTATGAGTGCTGTGAGTGCGGGAAAAGCTTCACTCGGAGCTCATCTCTTATTAGACATCAGAGGATTCACACAGGAGAGAGACCGTATAAATGCTGTGAGTGTGGGAAAAGTTTCACATTCAAATCAAACCTTAATATACATAAGAGGATCCACACAGGAGAGCGCCCCTATGAATGTTGTGAGTGCGGGAAACAGTTCACTTGGAGCACAGCCTTTCTTAAACATCAGAGAATTCACACAGGAGAGCAGCCCTATGAATGCTGTGAGTGCGGGCAAACGTTCCCTCAGAGCTCAGCCCTTCTTAAACATCAGAAAATCCACACAAGTGAGAGACTTTGTGTGTGCTGTGAGTGTGGGAAAAGCTTTACTCGGCGCTCATCCTTTATTAGACATCAGAGGATTCACACAGGAGAGAGACCGTATAAATGTGAGTGTGGGAAAAGCTTCACTTTCAAATCAAACCTTAATAAACATCAGAGGATCCATACAGGAGAGCGCCCCTACAAATGCTGCGAGTGCGGGAAACAGTTCAGTGAGAAATCAAACCTTATCACACATCAGACAGGCCACACAGGAGAGAGACCCTATGAGTGCTGTGAGTGTGGGAAAAAGTTCACTCAGAGCTCAGGCCTCTTTCATCATCAGAGAATGCACACAGGAGAGCGCCCCTATACATGCTGTGAGTGCGGGAAAAAGTTCACTCAGAGATCAGGCCTTATTAATCATCAGAGAATCCACACCGGAGAGCGACCCTATGAGTGCTCTGAGTGTGGGAAAAAGTTCACTCAGAGCTCAGGCCTTATTAATCATCAGAGAATCCACACAGGAGAGCGCCCCTACACATGCTCTGAGTGCGGGAAATCGTTCCCTCATAACTCAGGCCTTATTAAACATCAGAGGATCCACACAGGAGAGAGACCCTATGAGTGCAGTGAGTGCGGGAAAAGTTTCACTGAGAACTCATCCCTTACTAGACATCAGAGGATCCACACAGGAGAGAGACCATATGAATGCTGTGAGTGTGGGAAAAGGTTCACTTTCAAATCAGACCTTAATAACCATCAGAGGATCCACACAGGAGAGCGCCCCTATGAATGCTGTGAGTGCGGGAAACAGTTCACTTGGAGCACAGGGCTTACTATTCATCGGAGAATCCACACAGGAGAGCGACCCTATACATGCTGTGAGTGTGGGAAACAGTTCACTCAGAGCTCAAGTCTCATTAATCATCAGAGGATCCATAGACGAGAGCAGCCTGTGAATGCTGTGAGTGTGGGAAAAGTTTCATCTGGAGCTCACACCTTAATACAGTAACTCCTCACTTAATGTTGTAATTATGTTTCTGGAAAATGCTACTTTAAGTGAAACGATAATTAAGTGAATCCAATTTCCCCATAAGAATTATTGTAAATGAGGGGGGCTAGGTTCCAGGGAAATTTTTTTCGCCACACAAAAGACTATATTTTTATACATACATTTATATACATAGTATAAGTTTTAAACAAACAATTTAATATTGTACATAGCAGTGACGATTGTGAAGCTTGGTTGAGGTGGTGAAGTCAGAGGGTGGGATATTTCCCAGGGAATGCCTTGCTAAATGATGAACTAGCACTCGGGTGAGCCCTCAAGGGTTAGCACATTGTTATTAATGTAGCCTCACGCCCTACAAGGCAGCTTGAATGGAGGGAGGACACACAGCATGGCAGAGAGAAACAGAGACACACACTGTGTGTGTGTGAGAGAGAGAAGCACATTGCCCCTTTAAGTATGCTGACCCAACTCTAAGTACACTGCCTTTTTAAGTAGATCAGCAAGTTGAGATAGCAGCTGCTGCCAGCTCCCTCCGTCCTGAGCCCTGTCATGTTTCCTTCCCCCCCCCCCGCTCTGTGGAGATGGGGTACAGGAGCGGGGGGAGGGGGACACACTGACATTAGCACTCCTCTCTCCCCCCCACCTCTGCACAGCAAGCAGGAGTCTCTGGGAGCAGCTCCAAGGCAGAGGGCAGGAGCAGCACACGGCAGTGTGGGGAGGGACAGCTGAACTGCCCGGCAATTGATAGCCAGCTGGGCGGCTCCCGCACAAGGAACTTAGGGGATCTGAAGGGGGGGCTGGCGGCCCACTCTGGTTCCAGGCCTCCACCAGCTCCAATGGCTGCTCTTTCTGCAAGCAGTGGACAAAAGAGGCGGGCTGCCAAACAACGTTATAATGGAGTATTGGGCAACTTTAAACAAGCATGTTCGCTAATTGATCATTAACATAACGAAACAACTTAACCAGGACAATGTTAAGTGAGGAGTTACTGTGGGCATCAACGATTTCACAGGATAGATACGCACCATAAAAACTTTGTGTAGGGCAGAGAAAAGATTTTTTAAAAGACATTTGCTAATTCCCACATAGTGACTTTTTAGGGCTGTTTGTACCATTTGCGTCACCCTGTTCTCTCAGCTCCCCAGGTGAGTTGCTTGCTTTTCGTTTAGCAGGTCGCCCTTCTCTGGAGTGAATCCTTTGGTCCTTTCTACCAACTCCTTTCTAATGTGAGTCATCATGGGAGTGTGTCTCTCCTGCCAGGAGTGTCCATCAGCCCCAGGGGTGGGAAATAGGGGTGATCTCAAGTAGCTAAACTGAGCAAAAATCGTTCTGGGGTTTGCCCCCTCTAGGATTTTCCATGGAGTCAGCCTGCTGGAGGTAGCTATCCTAATGTAAACACCCTGCTAGATGTGCCGTGCTGACATAGCCCAGGCACAGGGGTTGGGGTTAGCTAGCACCTTCCCCTTTGAACTGTCCTAATTCACACCCATTTTCCTGCTCTAGCCAAGCCCTGAGCAGCACATTTATACTGTCACTGTACTAGCAGAGCGATTGTTAGTCACCAAGTTCCCCCTTTGGTGACAGATTGTCTCATTCCCAGATGTTCTCACGCTGGTCCAGGTTGTGCTGGGCAGCAGGTATTTTTCTTTTTACCACTTCCCTTATTGAAAATCTATTTCAATATAACAAAGAGGAGGAGCAGGAGTGGGACAAATGTATCATTTCAGCCTCTGCGACACCAGAAGGAAATGGGTTGAGTCGGCGGGATTACCTCCTTCCCCATTGCCGTCACTAGGCCCGCTCACTCCAGCAGCGCTGGTGTCTGTCTGAGCCACAATGGAGTTTACCTACCTCTGTTCTATGCCTCCACCTCCCAAAGAGTCTCTGCACTTCATAGCAAATTGATCCTAAATCCGTTAGGACTGAGATGAAAGTGTCCCAGACCTGGATGGGAAATTTCTGTGGATCCCAAACACAGTGTGATCATTCCAAGATTAAATCCGTTTCTGTCTATTGACAGAGCCACTTCTGGACTTTTCCCTACGGAGCTGAGATTGTTTGCAGATGAGAAGGTTGGCAGTTTTTCCCTATTACAATGAAGCTTTTTTTTTTTTTTTAAATAACACGACTCCATAATAATGAAGTGCTGTTGAGTGAAGCAGGTTTGAATGGATCAGAGGAGAAGGCAACGGGGGAATCTGCTCTCCTGATTTTTGCATCATCAGATGTAACCTGCTCTGGAATTTCATTTTATATGAAAGAGAAAGTGACTTATACCGCTTTGTTGTGGGTTTTTCTCTCTCTCCTGAAGGCCATTTGGTCACATAATTGAATATTATTGGTTTTGTTCTCCAGGATATAGCTCAGATTTATCGGGGACTTTGGGAGAAATGACTGTTTCCTAAAATAATGCTTTCTCATTTTATTTTTGTCTTTCCTGCACCGCTGCATGATGACATGGAAGAAGCTCGAGTGCAGTTCGAGCCATCGGGCGTGCTACCAAGAAAACAGTAGTGGGTTTAGGTCTCCACTCTAAAATGGTGAACAACAGCACACCCGAGATTGTGCAATTAACTGAAGTAACTGGGTGCGTGTGGCCAATGATTTGGGAAACGCTGTCCCTGTCTGTGTTGATGTGGAGAAAACAGAAGTGGCATTTTTGATGAACTTGCCCTTCGTAGATGCTGCAAATGTGCATTGAAATGAAATCAGTGTTGTATGTGGGAGAGCTGCAGAATACCTATTTTTAATAAATTCCCCTCCTTTGGTGACTTACGGGGATTGTGATGCAGGAGTGTTTCTAGTCCCTAATTTAGACCTGTGCCACCAGATTAAAGAAATAAATTGGGCGTGTTTGGGGAAGTCATTCCTCATTAACACTGCTCAGATTTTGGTTGGTTTTGTAAAGGATTCTATTCCAGAGGAGTGTAAATGTACCCTGACGAGGCCAAGGATTTGGCAAGAACTCAGTTTGATATAGCAGACTCCCAGTAGTTGATTTTCACCCCAGAGAAGGAAACTGTGTGGAACTATCGTCCAGATAAAACTGTTTGATTGTTTTTAACACCGCTCCCTAATTCAGTGTCACTGATTAGAGTCCCAAAGGCTGCCCTGGCTCGAGTGGAAGGTCCTTCACTATTTGGATCCAAGTTCCATGAGGCAAAGTGAGAAATAGTTGATGCCTTCAGAGGAGATTCCTGCCCCAGCCTGATTGAGCACCAAGGACTTCCATGCTGTTTGATTCCCTCATCCATTACTGTCATTCTATGTGTCAGGCTCCAATTTCAGACTGCTGGATAGACAAATGTTGAATCCTGATTCTATGCTGTTGTCACTTAGTTTTGCTCTTGTGTCTGATTCAGTTGTACCACTTTGCATGCACCTCCTGATACCTTGAAAGATTGGAAGGTGTGAATATGGCGCTGACATCCTTTCTCATGATGCAAACCTTCCCACGTAGCATGAGACCCCTTCCACCAACACTTACATCAGAAGGACCAGAGATAAATGAACTCACAGATGTGGAAAGCTACTGTGCTGGTGTAGACCACATTTACACAGTGCTCACTTGGTGGAAATTGGGCTTAAAATGAAACAAACCTGTATGATAAGATTTCATAATCTTTGACTATGTTCTTTTTACTAGTGAAAATGATGTTAATTATTCGTTAAAGCCTAACTTAGTGATAACCTGAATTATACTGGAACACTGTGACTTACATTGGTTTGCTTTTTGTTAGTAATATAGGAAGTGGTGGCCAACCTTAAAAAGTTTATTTGATGTAAAACACCCCCTTTGGACTAAGGTGCTCTGAAGCACAATATCCCTCCAAGGCTGAGGTGGGGGAATGTAAGAGAGAAATATTGTATAGGAGAACACAGACCCAGACTTCAGTTATTTCTGTTTCAACTGGAATTTGTTTTGACAAGCTCTAAAGTAAAATTATTTAAGGAGACAAGTTGTGTAACCTTTTACCCAATTAGACTGTATGGGTCACTGAGTTCCCCTCTTTTCTGCAAAGCGAAGATATATAACGTCTGTCAGGAGATGTCCACGGTTCTTTTTATGAATGGTAATGGATGCATGCGGCAAGAGGTAGTTTGTTTGTTGGGGAGGAGGGAGTTGGCTACCCATTATTTTTATGGGAGCTGAGACCCCTTTTCTTTTTTTAAGGAAGCCCATTGTCACAGTTCAGCCTTTTAACCCTCAAGCCAGGCTATGGAAACCTCCCCAAAACTGTCCTTAGATTTCATTCATTTTTGAGATCTTTGGGATTCAGCCCTCCACAGTGCATGTGGTTCACAGCAACCAATATTTTAACAAAACTTGTGTGTTTAATGGGACTTTTCCGAATGGATGATAGCCCAAAGTCTGCCTCACTTAGCACAGGCCACATTGTCTGTACCCAAAGTGTAATTCACACCTGATTTGCCTGGAAACTTCAGGGGAGTGACCTTAATGTGGGGTGAGCTAGAATCGTCAACCATGAAGACCAAGGTAAAGGTGGAAGCCCTTTTGCCCCAGCAACCTGCCTAAGAAAGACGGACATTCCAGGACTCCCAGACTGATCCCCTCTGGGGAAGGAAGTTGTAACATCAACACCAGGCTGTGCCAGCCTTGACCTGTCTCCTCGTACCTGAGAGAGCTTGCGAATGTGAACCCCATCGCCTGGCTCCTTGACTGCAGCTCTAGTTCCTACTCCACGGGAGTCCACAAGAGCTGCAGCATTGAATTCATTTGTCAGTTTCAATATCTGATTGTTACTTGTTCTAGTTCTTATCTACTGGGAGCCAACCCAGCCTTCCTGTTCTACTCTGGTGGTACAGTGGGGCGCAGTGCATGCACATGTGTATGAAACCTGTCACATCCATGCAGGAAAGGAGCTAAAAAGAATATTCCCAAACCTAAATAACCCTAAAATCTGCCCTACAAAATGATTGAACATGTGCTCCTCGTTCTGTGAACGTGTTCAAAGAACCTAAGCGGTCAGATCCA